TTCGGTCGGGAGGTTTAATACCAAACGCCCTTAGATCCATCACACAAGCTCAAGATTTGCGTATGAGGAATGAAGAAGGCACCGCACTAGTCAGCCCTGCTAGGGTTTATGCTCTCACAGAAACCTTAAAGAAGTGAATGAACGGCAAAAATCACAGCATTTCTCTCCTCATAGACAAAGGTGGACAATGCACTAATATGGCAGACATGTGTGAATTATTTCACTACCTTCTTAGAAGCAACAGTATCTAGACAAAAAACAGCATTTCTGTAAAATTGGGACACTACAGCCTCCAGGGAGTCACTTGTAAAATAGTTATCCTATCGACGGAGTCGAATGAGTGCTTGTGGTGGACCTTTTACTCTGTTAGCTTAGTTACACAAATTCAAATAGAAAATGAAATACCAAATCAGTTTAGTTACGGGAAGAATATATTAAAGTTTCGTTACTTGGGTTTACAAAGATCCAAAGTCCACAATAAACGTAATAGACTCCAGGTGCTGCGGGAAGACTGTTCAAGTACTAATTCTCCAATGTTGACGTTACCGGAGGTCGACCAAAGTACGTTGGAAGAAACTAGGGTGCTCCTGCGAAAATTCGAAATAGAAAGCAAGTGGTTAAAATTTTTCGACGGCAGTTGAGATGATGGAGAAGACGGAGAGTCGAAAGCAGAATTATATATTCACTCAAAATCCGAGGCACAATTCAAAGTATAGAGTTTATGGTTAAAACAAAGTAGTGTACAATATGTTCATTTCTTACATAGTAGTAAAATTTGGATAAGTTTATTTTTTCTGAGGACTCCACATGCTTGGACTAATCCCCAATCTATATGTTTGTAACTACGACATATCATGCTCCCTGAATCTTGTTTGTTTCCTGTATTTAGTGGTGAGAAAGGCAGAGAGCAGAGTACAATTCTATGGTCACTGCTGGAAAATCTGTTACCAGCAGGGGTGGAGACTGGGATTGTGTCATGACAAAACACAAGGTTCAGCATGTTTTCACCACGAGTAGGTGTCTGGACGTGTTGTTGTCATCCATAACAGTCGATAGTGGCAAGTAATTCGTTGAAGCGTTGGGGGCCGGAACTACTTAACCAATTGACTTCTGGAAGATTGAAGTCTCCTGCAATTATTTTGTAATTAGTACTAAACGAGGAGGCGTGTGCAAACGATTTAGCTAATAACGCATTAGTTTCTTTGG